GCGGCTTATATTCTGAGGTGCTCTATAGTCCGGTAAATATGGTAGTAGTTTATTCATTGATTCGTCTTAGGCCCATATAAAATAAAATAAAAACAAAATACAGAATCTAATTCCAGAGTAAAATAAATAGAAGAGAATACAGTAATAAAATGCATATGTGATAAATACAAAGAATTCACACTACCTTTGCATGATAACCTGATCTGTTCAGGTTCTGAACTGAAGTGCCTTAACTTTAAATTTAGCATTTGAGCCGAGGAGGAAATAGGATAATCTGCAGTTCAGATCCCAGTGGGCTTTTCTTTTAAGTAATGAGGTTAAATAAAGGTAGAGTTAACAGTGTCCAATCATTACTGACTCTAGGGCCGACGCTCATCTCCGTTTCCTAGCTGAGGGAGGCAGCGTTGCCCGAAGACGCTTCTGTAGTCATGTGGTCAGCATGAGGTGCCAGGAATGCTGTTACTTTCCCATCAAAGTGGTATCTATTTATCTACTGGCATTTGCATGCTTTAGAATTGCTAGATGGGCAGGAACTAGGGCAAGCTCACCCTGTCATGTGGCACTTGGGTCTCAAATTCAGCCTATCAGCTTTCCAGCTGACAAGCTCAGCATCTTTCATTGCTGAGCTATCGCACCCCCTTTAGTGAGGTTAAATAAGCCTAAAAGGGGCATACAGTTACTTGACACAAAACATGATACATCCTCTCCTGATATGGCAGGTGATGGCAGCACTCATATCTGGCAATAGAATCTAACAATTCAAATCTTGCTCTAGGACAGGTCCTTGTTAATAATTGTGTCAAATTCATTGCCAGGTATCTTGGAAAATAGTTTTATTATTTGCCAACCAATGGAAGAATCTTAATTTTTTTAACTAATAATTCCATGCCAGTTTGACATTGATATCTAGGACTCTGTTTAAAAATGTCTCTTGCCTGGGAGGCAGTTGAGAGTAAATACTAGGTGGAAAACCAATGCTGTGAATAAATAAGCTTATCCAGGAATGGAGCTTTACCATCCTTAACTAATCCATTAAACATATTTAATCTATAAAGATCCATAGAATGGATCTTCTGCCAGTGTGTGAAAACTTTAATTATTGAATATGTATGGAATGGATACCTGTTTCTACTCTGACTGCAGGGATTGACATGTTCTTATCAGTTCCCAGTTTGCTTCTTAAAAAACACGAACTTGATCAATTTAGATAGCTTTTGTAAGCCCCCCGCCGCAAAAGTCTGCACCATAAGTCGACGTTGGGACTATTTTTGGTCTGAATGCATTCAGGGGCTCAAGATACCTAATCAATTATAATTAAATAGTTTATATTATATTTTAGTGCTTGTCTTGGCCCTTGCTGAATTTATTTTTAAATGCTTTACTCACAGCTATGAGTTGGTTAAAGAAAACACTCCTAAATGAGTAAACAAATTAACTTATTCCATAGGCTCCCCATTTAACTGCCATTTATATTCCATGCTTTTTTAAAGTAAATGTTAGATTTTGTTTTATTGATGTTTAAAGGATTAAGAACACAGTAGGTGTTTAGTTTTCACAACAGTCTCCTCAGCCTATTTGAGAATATGCCATTAGAACAATAATGACAGCATGTAAAAGGATATTAATAAATTTATCATGGATATTTGGCACATGAGTGTCTGAAGGAATCCTAGAATATCATTGACATACAATTTAGAAGCACTGGGACTAGAATACAACCATTCTAACATCATTATGAGTAGATATCCTCTTAGACAATAGTTTATCCTGTGAAGCTAGAAAATTTAAATCATCCTAAAGCAGGGCTGTCAAACTCGTGGCCCACAGGCCAGACGCGTCATGTGTTGGTCACGCTCTTCCCTGGTTTAACAAAAGGGGGGGGGGGAGTCCCAAAACATTACATGACGCCACTGTGACACCGTGGGTTTGACACCCCCGTCCTGAAGCTACTGTAGCCTGAGTTTTCTTTTTGAGGTTTTATCATATAAATGACTCAGTCTGGCCCTCTAGAGACATCAAAAAAAAAAAAGGGGGGGGGAAGCTCACAACTGGTCTCCCTGATCTATAAATGTAACCTCCATATTTTCAGAGGTGAAGAAACTGGTATATATCATTTTACATACCAGGCAAGAAATTCCAGCAGTTTAATTTTTTAAGATTATATGTGTGTTACACAAAACAAGAGTAAGCTGTTTACAGACATTGAAGTCCATGTGAGGGAGACTAGTGATCATCAACTGACCACAATTTACTTCAAAGGCATATCTGATATTAGATTATCCACGCCTTGTGGAGAGGCTACTAACTAATCTTGAAGTGAGGCAAAATAGAAGGGTTATATTGGATCATGTTTGAAGGAAAGCGAAGAAAATGACCAGAAACTATGTGGGTAGACTGATTTACAGTGGCAATGAATGCACTGTTGGAAGACCAGGTTACAGAAGAAAATGAAGAAAATCTATCTAAGGTTTTATAATAGCCATCACCAACTTGACAGCATGTAATCAAACATCCTATGTACCCACTTAGGGTCTGGATTCTATTTTCTAGCACCCAGATCCAATTTAAATCAGATTTGTCAGGTGCCTTTTGAACATATTCTTCCCAGTTTTTTTCAAGTGTAACCCGCATTTGTTAAAGTGTCTTTACAAGCAAATTGAAACAATTTCCATTGGCACCAACTGTGTATCCATTTGTTCATTTCCAGTATTCTCTCTTTTCCTGGGCCATGTTCCTCAATCAAAAAAAGTGAAGAAAACATCATTTGTGTTCCATTTTCTTCAGTGCATTATAGTCCCCTACGGTATCTACAAGAGTGTATCTGGTTATGTCATGCATTCCCATATAGATTTCTAGAAAGGAATATTTGCCTGTGGCCTTAAAACATCTTGGGAGCCTTTCCGTAACCTTTCTGAAGGTATGCCACAGAAAGGCAGCATACTTCTTTTGACAGCTTCTGACAGATTGTTGCTTCAGTCTTTCTCAGAAGGGAACTTGTCATTTATGACGACCACCTGTCATTGCTTCCAGTTGAGCAGACAGATCTTCCCTTTGCAGAATCATCTTCCTTAGTCTGCAGCTGCTCTTCATTAACAACAGTAAGGCCATTTATTTTTGAGCTTCTGAGTATAGGAATTCTTCTTGTTAGGCTTGAGTCATCATGTCATGTTCCTCTATCTATTTGTCCATGACCTCAGCTCCAAGACCTTCAGTCTTTTGGATTGGAAGGGTTCTTGATGCTTCTCTGTCAATGTTCCCTATATCCTATTCAAGAATCCACAGATAAGCTGGAAAATGGATCATTTTGCCACCAGGCCTTCCCCCCCCACACTTTTTTTTTAGTCGTGCAGTTAGCTGTGCTTTTAGCCATATAACGATTTTGTTGACTTATAGAAGTACAGATACAGATAATCAGAGTTGGAAGGGACCTTGTAGGTCATCTAGTCCAACCCCCTGCCCAAGTGGGAGACCCTACACCATTTCTGACAAATGGCAGTCCAACCTCTTCTTGAAAGTCTCAACTGATGGCATAAATAAGCATATCACATGCTTTGCAGGCCCCAAGAGCAGTTTTCTCCCTGTTTTTCGGAAGAAGAGTACAATCAATAAAAATCATCTGCCAAACTTGGTTGCTCCCCTGTTTGTTCCCTCAGTGAGCTGAATAGGGTCACAATAACCTTGGGAGAGTGGTAGAATGATCTGAGCTTGTACGACTTTTTGTTTTTTCAACAATCCAAATCAAACGTATTCTGCAAGTCTGACATAGGCCTGCACCAGCATCAGTCATACCGATCTTAAGTTTATAGTTACACTGGAGTAATGTTGTACATCGGCTTGGAAGACAGAAAGATGGTTTGAGACATACTGGGGGGCAACATAGCTCCTATGTGCAATTTTTTAAAGCAGATGTGTCTTTTATCAGGATTAGATGGTTGAATTTTTTTAAAAAAACTAGTAGGCAGGTTACAAATAAGAAAAAAAATCTCAGGAAAAGTTGAGTTTGATGCTTTGGAATTATAGAATGTGCTCCTGCATAGTGCAGCTATGCAAATTTTCAGGGCGGGTGAATTGAGGACTTCATGGTTCTAAAGCTACAGTAGAATGTTTGAATTGTTTGGAGATGATCAAGAATAAATCTAATTCCTTGTAACGTGTAACTATGCAAGAAAATATTGGAGATTGATACAGACATGGGTTGGAGCAAATGGTGGAAGAGCATATTCCATTTAAGCCAGAATTATTTCTCTTAGGAATAATGAGAGAAGGTTATAGGAAAGGTATAACTTATTTAATAATACATATATTGACAGTGGCGAGAATGGTATATGCACAATATTGGAAGAATGAAATCATACCACCAGAAAGAGAGATAATAAGGAAAACAATGACTGGTGCAAAATTGGATAGGCTAACCTTAGAATTGAAAAACAAGAGGGAATCAGATTGTTATGAAATATGGAATAAGTTTTATCAGTGATTGCAAAAAAAAAGAAGGGAAGGTCGGAACAAAAATAGCTAGGATATATATGAAATCTAATTATCTCCATATATGTAGATACACATACCCACGCACGGAACATCCACAACAAAAAGACGCTAGTCTCTAGACTTTTGATTTTTAGTCTTTCTTAATTTTTGTCTGCCAACATAATTGTTGTCTGCCAGCATAATACATTAAATAAAGGAATGAGTATCTGATAGTAAGACTACTATCAGAGATATTGCACATAAGGAAGGAATGGAGCAAAAGTGGCTCATGTTTCAAAACAGAGATTGCAGTAATGTGTGCAACATTCATTGCATAATAAAAGTACATAATTGATGGGTTGCAGCAACCTCAGGTTGTTGTGTTTTGATTCAGTACTATGGAAATCAGAATGAGTTATTATGCAACCAAAATGTTAATTTACTATGATTGAGACCACTGTTAAAACTAATCATAAGGTGATAAGTGAGATGTGTGTAAATCAAAGGTATTATGTCGAATCTTCTCTCTACAGGTTACATCTTCAGGAAAGAATCCATATCTTTCACCATGATATAACTTCATGTAAGTTCTCTTCATATTTTTAATTGTCCATTGTAAATGATTTGAGGGAAGAACATTCTCTTGCAAGAATGTACAAGAAAGCTGGGAAGGCTTTTAATGTACTTAATCACACAATGACTGCAAAATGAAATGACGGCTTCTGAATCTCCCCAGTATGTGCTCTTAACTTGGTACATGTTTTAAACAATAACTTCTACTATAAGGTCAGGCTGCACATTTTTTGTGTGCATTGTACATTGTTAAAGAAAGGAAATAGAGCACAGGAAGTTCTTACATACAATTTATTAAGTGTAAAATGTGCTCAAAAATTGTGGCGGGCTCAGAACAGAAACATTAGGCTGATAAATGAGATTAAGCAATGGAAGTTTATCTTGAAAGTGATGTATAAATGGCTTCTCCGGCTGCTAGTTCATTTCTGAATGCATACTCAAGTGTAAATGCTTACTACTAGAGATGCACAATCCTTCAATTTCAATTCAAAAGGGACAGCATTGGCATGTGAATGAATACCTTTTGTTTATTTATTTAACTTATAGGCCGCCCATATCACCTACAGGCAAATCTAGGTGGTTAACAATCACTAAAAACAAGATAACGTTAAAACCTTTTTAAAATATTAACATTAAAATTGATGTTAAAATTGATGAAGATGGGAAGAAACAGAACAAGAAGCATGCCAGGAAGAGGTGGGGTCTTTAATGCAACTTCAAATCAGAGATCCGAACAAAAATTAGAATGAATCAAACCCTCAAACTGAATCTTAGTCAAATAGATATATTCAATGGAGTGTCTTCAAATCAATGCATCAATATAATCAACTTTTGGACACAAGAACACACTCAACCATTCAAAATAAATCAGTGAATCCACTATTTGAATTGGTTGAGTGATGATTTGCACAATCCTAGCACTTAAATTTAAAGCCCTCCCTAATTTTGGAATGATATGCTTGAGGAATATCATCTGTTACATCAACCTACATATGCATTAAGAAATTTCTGAAATTAATTCATCCTTCCTTTCTTTTTTTCTTTCTTTTTTCTTTTCTTTCTTTCTTTCTTTCTTTCTTTCTTTCTTTCTTTCTTTCTTT